GCATCCAAAATTAAGCAAAAAAAGTAAAACTGTCATTATTTACTGATAACTGATACTATGTATAGAGAGCCATGAAGATTCCAACAAAAAAATATAAGAACTAATAAGTTCAGTAAAGGCAGCACAATACAAAATAAATATTCAGAAACTGATTGCATTTTAAAAATCTATTTTATGTTTTCATTACAGTTTACATTCAACATTTTATATTAGTTGCAGGTGTGCAGTATAGTGGTTAGACAATCACATATTTTACAAAGTGTTCCCCCTGATATTTCTAGTACCCACTAGCACCATACAGTTATTTCTGCTGCATTTTTATATACCAATAACTATAAGAGAAACTAAGAAAAAAATTCCATTTATAATCACATTAAAAAAAATAAAATACCTAGGAATAAATTTAACCAAGGATGTTGTAAAAAACCTCTCCTCAGAAAATTATAAAGCATTGAAGAAACATACTGAAGATGATACAAAGAAATGAAAGCATATACCATGCTCATAGACAGAAAAATAATAATATCATCAAAATATCCATACAACCCGCACTGACTGGTTTTGCTCAGTGGTTAGAGCATCGGCCCATGGATTAGAGAGTCCTGGGTTTGATTCCAGCCAAGGGCATGTACCTTGGTTGCGGTTTGTCCCTGACCCCGGCTGGGGTCATGCAAGAGGCAACCAAATCAATGTGTCTCTCTCATATTGATGTTTCTCTCTCCCTCCTTCCCACTCTATCTGAAGATAAAAGGAAAAATATCCTCGGGTGAGGATTAAAATATATATATACATATGTATGTGTGTGTGTGTATCTCCATACAACCCAAAGCAATTTATAGATTCAATATAATTCCTACAGAATACCAATGGTGTTTTTCACAGAATTAGAATAATCCAAAAATTAATACAGAACCACAAATGACCCCAAATAGCCACAGCAATCATGAGAAAGAAGAACAAAGTTGGAGTTACATGCCTCCTGATATCAATCTATACTACAAGGTTATAAATCAAAACAGCATGGTACTGGTGTAAAAAACAGACATACAGATCAATGAAACAGGACAGAGAGCCCAGAAATTAAATAAACCCATGCCTTGCCTGGCCAGTGTGGCTCAGTGATTGAGCATCAACCCATGTACCAAGAGGTTGCCGGTTCGATTCCCCGTCAGGGCACGTGCAGGAGGCGGCCAATCGATGTTTTCCCTCATTGATGTTTCTATTTCTCTCTCCCTCTCCCTTCCTCTCTCTCTAAATTCAATAAAGAAAACAAATTTTTTAATAAATAAATAAACCCATGCCTATGTGGTCAATCAATATTTGACAAAGGAGGCAAAAACATACAATGAGGTAAAGACTATTTGATAAATCATGCTAGGATAATTGGACAGAAAGATGCAAAAAAATGAAACTAGACCTCCTTCTTATATCATATACGAGAATAAATTCAAAATGAATTAGAGTTTAAATTCAAGACTCAAAGCCATAAAACTCCTAGAGAAAAACAAAGGCAGTAAAATCTCTGACATTTCCCTTAGCAATATGTTTTCTGATATAGCTCCTCAGGCAAGGGGAACAAAAGAAAAAATAAACAAATGGGACTACATCAAAATACAAAGGTTTTACACTGCAAAGGAAACCATCAAAAACCGAAAAAACAACCCACTGAACAGAAGAAGGTATTTGCCAACTGATGTATCAGATAAGGGTTAATGTCCAAAATTTATAAAGAATTTATACAACCCAACAACAATAAATCCAGTTTAAAAATGGGTAGAGGACCTAAAAATGTCCAAAATTTATAAAGAATTTATACAACCCAACAACAATAAATCCAGTTTAAAAATGGGTAGAGGACCTAAACAGACACTTCTCCAAAAAGGGCATACGGATGGCCAATGGACATATAGTGTCAGAGAGATGCAAATTAAAACCACAATGAGGTATCACCTCACACCTGTCAGAATGGCTATCATCAGTAAATCCACAAACAGCAAGTGCTGGCAAGAATATGGAGAAAAGGGAACCCTAGTACACTGCTGGTGGGAATGCAGACTGGTGCAGCCCCTATGGAAAAGTGTGGAGGGCCCTCAAAAAATTAAAAATGAAATTGCCCATTCTACTTCTGGGTATGTATCCAAAGAAGCCAAAATACTAATTTGAAAAGATATATGCAGTCTTGTTTACTGCAGTGTTATTTACAATAGCCAAAGTATGGAAGCAACCCAAGTGCCCAACAATAGACAAGTGGATAAAAAAGATGTGGTGCATATATACAAGAGACTATTACTCAGCCATAAGTAAGAATGAAATCTTGCTATCTGCAGCAACATGGATGGAACTAGACAGTATTATGCTAAGCAAAGTCAGTCAAAGAGAGAAAGACAAGTACCATACGATTCCATATACATGTGGAATCTAAAGAACAAAATTAACAAACAAAACAGAAACAGACTCATGTAAGCAGAGCTTAGATCGATGGTTTCCAGACAGGAAGGGGTTGGAGGATGAGTGAAAAATGTGAAGGGATTAAGATGTAAAGTGGGTAGTTACAGAATAGTCCCAAGGATGTAAAAGTACAACATAAAAAGTATAGTCAATAATACTGTATAATCAATAACTATGTATGGTGCCTGGAAATATCAGGGGGACCACTTTGTAAAGTATATGACTGTCTAACCACAATTCTGTACACTTGAAACTAATACAAACTAATACTAAATGTAAACTGCAATTAAAAAATAATAGATTTTTTTTTTATGTTAAATTTTAGCCTTGGCCGGTTTGGTTCAGCAGTTAGAACATCAGCCCGTGGTCCAGAGAGACCTGGGTTCAGTTCCCGCTAGGGGAGCATACCTTGGTTGCAGTTTGTCCCGGCCCTGGTTGGGGTCGTGTGAGTGGCAGCCACTCAATGTGTCTCTCTCACATCAATGTTTCTCTCTTTCTCTCTCCCTCCTGCTCTGTCTGAAGATAAATGCAAAAATGTCTTCTGGTGAGGATAAAAAAAAGTTAAATTTTAAATACTACTTTTAAAAAGTGCACCAGGCTATTTCTATAATAACTCATATTAAATTGTTAATAGAGTAGACAACTTCTGAAGAGTAGAATTAAAGACCCGGGCGTGGGGGCAAGTGTGCAGGAAATGTTTGTTTTATTTTAAAAACTCACTGCTTTAAATGGATTCTTTGTTTTCCACTATTGTGAGGACTAAATGAGTTATATATAAAACACTTACAACTTAGCATATATTAAGAATACTGAGCTATTAGCATGATTATTCTAAAAGTACCATAATTTCACCAGTCCTTGACTGACAGAAATTTGGATACTTTGTCTTTTGCACAACGTTATAACAAATATCCATGTAAAATATTCATTTTCTGCATACATATTATCTGAATTTACTATGCACATTTTTTAAAAGAGATAATGTTATCTTTTAACTTGATTTAAAAGTTTGAAAAGCAACATGGGAGTTAACAATAAACAAACACTGGTTTAAAAATACACATCTGCTTTTCCCAAAAGACCTATCAAGCTTGACATTAAAAGGACTGAATAACTTTAGTCTTTTCTTTTCTCATTTCAAATAAACTAATTTATACAATATAAAAGGTTAACACCGTCTACATAGAGAATTCTAAAAAAAATTGTAAAGGAAAACACTAAGATCCCAATAGATAAACTGGATAGATAACAAGCAGATAATTCGCAAAGGGAAAGTATTAAGCATTCAAAAAGTAGTCTAACATCTTAATAATCAAATATGTGGATACCTGCAGTGGTTTAAAATATGTGCCCAAATTCTTCAATAGTCCTCCCTTCTGTCAAATATGGGTCCCAATTCCCTCCCCCTAAGTGTGTGCAGAGCTGGCTTCACAGGTGTGCAATCTGTACCGTCACACTGGGGCCCAAGCTTAGAAGGGCCTTAGCTCGGTTTGATGCTCTGCTACTGGCTGTCTTAAAATTCGTGTAAGTTTTGAACAAAGAACCTATATTTTCATTTTGCAAATTACACACCCATTCCTGAACTTGGGCTAGACTTAGTGACTTGCTTAGTGACAGACAGAATGTGGCAAAAGTGACTTCGACTACTTTATAAAAGCCATTTGGTCTCCTCCTTGCGCTTTCCCACTGGTCACTCCATCTAAGGGAAACCACTGCTATTTCCTAAGGACAACGCAGCTGCCTTCTGCAAAGGGCCAGTCAAGCCTTCAGATGACTGCAATCCTGGCTGACATCTTGTTTGCAGCCTCATAAGAGACCCGAAGCCAGAAGCACCCAGCTAAACTGTTCGCCAACTCCCCACCCCCAGAAGCTGTGGGATAATATGTACTGTTTTCAGCAACTACGTTTTAGGGTCATTTGTTAAGCAGCAAAAGATAACTAATACAATACCAAATACTGGCAAAGTGTATAGTGAAACGAGCCTTCCCATAATACTGCTGGTAGAAATGTACATTGGTACGAGCTTTCAAATAAGTTCATTAAATTTATTAAAATCTACTCTAAGGAAATACTTAAAAGATAAAAATAGATAAAGTTTATTATAGCTGTTCATTATAGCTATCTTACAGTAGCCTCAAATTAGAAACAACCTAAATGTCCCCAAATAGGGAAACAAAATATGTACACACAGACTTTCGTAAAGTCATTAAAAATTAGGTCTGATTATGAGGTAAGTAGCTTTCCATATTTATGTCTTAAAGAACAGAAAATTATGAGGAACACCTGAAGTTCATTTTTTTAATTAAAAACTACCAGAACATACACCAATATGTTCACTCCTTTCTTGTCATTCTACTTCTATCATCCTCTACTTTTTAATAAACATGCTTCTTTTTCAAAATAAGCAGGGATTCTATAAACGTAATCATGAAAAAGAACAATTAAGTAATATTAATTACATGACTGCATTATTACTGAGTTCTTCCCCAAACAAGGGGGAAAATCTAAAGAACCACTTGCTCGTTGAGTGTATTCCAGACGCACTTACTTACCCAAAAGAAAACTTCCTGGCTTCCAAGTAGATCTGATTGATGAGTTCCCGAGTGGGGGCTACGATAATACACTCGGGCTCCTGCAGCTCCCGGAAACGGCTGGCGGTTATGCCGTCACGCATCATGTTCGCCAAGATCGGCAAGAGAAATGCTGCCTACAAGTTCAACGGTATAATTCACAAATTTATCAAGCATCATCTTTTGCCCTGTGAAAACCTATTCCTCATGCCCTACAGCCTTACCATCTTCTTCCATCTTGCTGGTTAATTTAAAATGAGAAAGGAAAATAATTCCATTTCAATGAATTTTTAACATTTAGGCCTTTATGCTCATATTATACAGTATAAAATGTCTGATAAAGTTAACCTACCCTATCACATCATTTTTGGTTCTTGTTAAAAAGCACACCCTGGATGCTGCATGAATCAAGGAACACTGAGTCACCTATGGAGGCGCAGCTGTAACCAGAAGGAAACTGCTGCGTCCTTTGCGGCAGCGATAAGACTGCAGCTCAGCATGCACGACCAACACGGTCCACCAGCAGAGCCAGCCCTGGCAACCACACATTCAGATTCCTCCACACATCACCCTTACTGAAAGACATCTGGCAAGACACATCTTTTGCTCTAGTTTTCTCATTAAGCAAGTAAGACCCTGAACTCCAACCCCACAACCATGCCTGAGTCGTCCGTCAGCTGCTATTATTACACAACTCACCCACTTTCCCTTCGACTCTGCCATGTGGGCTTAGACCACTGCTGTGAACCAAGACTGAGACCCTAGAAATGACAGTCTAAGACTCACTCATGGAACCCTATTTAATAGACAAATCCACAGATGAGTCCTAAAGCCAACCTGGTCTCATCAGCTCTTTTAGCAGTGGCACAGCCTGAAGTCACTCCCTACAATGTATCTAGCTATTTCTTATTCCTTTGACTCCAAAACTGTACCATCTATTACATACACTGCCTTCTCCCTTTCTCTGTCTTTATCACTTCTGGTCCGTTCCCCTCAATCATCTTGGTTCAGATACTATCATGTTCCAGAAGGAGCTGGACACACTTAGAAAAATTAAACATCTATTAACTGGAAAATTATTCTAAAAATAGCTCAAAATTATTTCTTCAGAACTACACAAACCCCAATAAATCCAGAAATCAGAAGCAAAAGCAGAAATAATTTATGACAGTTCATTAAAATCATCTTCAAACCTTCAACCCAACAAAAGAGATTAAAGCTACTTGGGGAAGAACCAGAATTAAAAACACTGAACAGCCCGAGTGGGAAAAGGACTCACAGTTTTCCCAGACCCCGTCTGAGCACAAGCCATCAGGTCCCGCCCTGCGAGGACGACGGGGATGCTGTACTTCTGCACAGGGGTGAGCTTGGTGTAGCCGGCTTTAGCGATGTTGCTGGTCAGGGTCTGGCAGAGATTAGCTTCTTCAAACGTCTGGAAAAGGGGGCAGTGATTCAGTTCCACAGATCACCTGAAGATCATTCCATAAACATGCCCCACTTGAATTAGATTCAGGTTGTTGTTTTTTTATCCTCACCCGAGGACATTTTTTCATTTTTTGTTCAATTAGAGTGGGAGGGAGAGAGAGAAACATCGACGTGAAAGGGACACATCGAGTGGCTGCCACCTGCACGACCCAACCAGGGCCGGGGACAAACTGCAACCGAAGCACGTGCCCTTAGCGGGATCTGAACCCGGGTCTCTCTGGACCGCAGGCCGACGCTCTAACCACTGAGCCCAACAGGCCAGGGCTAGTTTCAGGTTTTGTTACTTCCACTTTACATACTGAAGATACTTTACTAATATACTCCCACTCAAAGTGCTATCCAGAACCTGTATCATTGTTGATAGAATTAAGGAATAGTGCGGTAGACAGTGGTTCTAAAACATTTTTTCTGCCCCTCTTCAAACCTGTGACATACAAAAAACTAATCAGTAACAATGGCTCGTTATCAGAGGGACTGTGAGGTCCTCCACGCCTTAGAGAATCACTCCCCTAGGACACACTTTCTCACATACTTAGGAAGCAGGAATCTTGACTCTATAGAAAAACACCGTTTTTAGTGAATCTATGTACAGTTCACACCCTGGCCTAGGGAGGTGGGGATGAAATGAGCAGCCTCTCTTGCGACAGATCAATCAAGTCTACTGCAGACGCCAGACATGGTTTAAAGTTCCAAGCTAACACATGAGATGCTAGAAATGAAATTCTTGTATTCTTTAATATCAACTTAAAGGAATGTCTCATAAATTTGAAAACACAGCCAATACAGGAATGACCGTCACACTGACCAGAACTGCTGGTGGCACATCGTGTCCAGACACTTCCACGAGAATGCTGTCATACTTGTCAAAGTTGATGCCTGTCTGATAGTGTGCAAAGATGGAGTCCTCGTCCTCGGGGGGCGCGGGTGGTACGTAGGTCATTTTTGGTCCTTGGAATTCAAATAATAAACAGAATCTACATTACAAGACCAGAAGAAAAATAAGAGGAAAACAGACAAAAACTGACAGAATCAAATTGTAAGTACTGTAGAATCTCCCGATATTTACCATTCAAATTTTCATTTCAGATTTTTAAAAGTTGTCTCTGCTTTTAAATATTCTGCATTTATATTAAAATGCAATATACACTCTGTGAATCACACAAAATTTACATACCTTGAGTGTCTTCACTTTCTGCTCCTTCAGCTCCTGACTTCCAAGAATCTTAAAGGAAATCAAACCCAAAGAGATAAATGTTTTTAAAAAGTGAGGGGTAAAAGAACTCTCACTACAAGAATTAAGTACCTTATCTAAAGTAGAACTTACTCTTTCCAGAGCCTGTTATTACTTCTTCATTTAACCCTTTGTAACCACCTGTTAGAGAAACCCATAGTGACAGTCAGGACACAGGCTGTGCACATCTTTATGGTCATTGCTCGTCTTCAAAGAGAACAATTCTAAAAACAGTCAGACATCTTTAAAGTCCTGTATACAAACAATACTTGAGACAATTAAGATATCTAGAATCCTGAACATTTTAAATTTCAGTATTCAAAAATGCTAACTTTATGCAGATGACCCTGTTACATTTTTGTTTAAGCTGTTATGTCTCCTAATTCCTATATCCCTCAGCAAAGAATTTATTTTCTAGAGGAACTGAACATGCATCTGTGTTGGGGTGTCCCCACCAGCACCTGCAGGTCCCACGACTCCCTAGGACTCATGGCAATGCCGTCTCACAGGGAAAGGACAGACAGGAGGATGAGCCCAGGGCAGTCAGAGCCAGGCTGAGCTTCCAAGTCCTCTCCACTGGAGTCTCGCAGGACAGGCGGAACTCCCCGCAAGGAGCAGTGACGGCACGCTGGAGATGTCCGCCGGAGAAGGCTCAGCAGACCTGCGACCAGCTCCTGCTGCACACGGCCACTTCAGACTCAGAAGCAAAGCAGGGATCCAGCATGAACCACACTGCTGTACAAACAGGTGAGGCCCAGCGAGCCGCTCTGAGCGGTTAGGGGGTGAGAACCCTTCCCAAGTGCAATGTCCCAGGCGCCGGGGCCAGCCTTGTAGGCAGGATGAACAGCAGCAGGCCTGCACTGCTCACCGCCCTACACAGCATGTAGCCTTTCTATTTCAGACAACTCGTCACCTCTGTGCCACTTTCAGGTACGGTCACAGCACAGAACAGGTGCTGCGTTAGATCTGAGAAGCTAGCAAGATGTAACCTGTTTACATGGGAGCCCTCTAAGTTTCTTGTCCACAAAAAGGTCTTGAAATGTTTTTTCAAACAATATGTGAGCCATTTGAAGAAGAATCTCTTTCTAGAATGAAGAGCCCAAGGCCTGAGCGGGGTGTGGTACTCTGAATGCTCTCAGACTGATGTCTGTCACTGAGGATTTTCCGGACAGCAAACCAAATTGACTGTTTTAATAGTTAGAAAAGCATTTTAACTTTTATATGACATTAAAATATTGATAACTCAGAAAATATTTTTATAGTACCAAATCATGTATACTGAACTTTATTCCAAATACCAAATCAAGTAACTATCATAAGAAAAAACAAATTGTTTTAAAATAATAAGAATTTCGCCCTGGCCGGTTTGGCTCAGCGGTTAGAGCGTCCACCTGCGGTCCGGAGAGACCCGGGTTCGGTTCCCGCTAAGGGCGCATACCTCGGTTGCAGTTTGTCCCCGGCCCTGGTTGGTCGTGCGGGTGGCAGCCACTCGATGTGTCCCTTTCACGTCGATGTTTCCCTCTCTCTCTCTTCCTCTCTCTCCCTCCTACTCTGTCTGTACAAAAAATGGAAAAATGTCCTCGGATGAGGATTAAAAAATAATAATAATAATAATAATAAGGATTTCTACATATACATGTTTCTCAGTATTTAACATTTGCACAGTATTCCTTTTTATGGTTATATTATTTGTCAAAGTTACTTGCTGATAAAGTCTAGGTGGTTTTCAGTCTTTTCTTATCATAAATGAAGCTTTGGTGAACAGCCGTGTACATGTATTGAGCAAATATATCTACAGTGTATAACCCCAAAAATGGAATTTCTGGGTTGAAGAGCATCAAGTCAGTCAACAACGGGCTGTTGAAATATGCGCCCCCCAGTGTATGAAAGCAGCAACAGCACCTTCAGCTCCAGAGTGAAGGCTGGATCAGTCATTGTAACCATTTACAGGAGACCAAGAGAACCTCACCTCGCCCACTTCCACTTCGGCTTGGATACACGTCGCCATTGCCTGGAAGACACCATTTTGCAGAATATTCAGAGAAAGCACAGCTTCCCCTCCAGCATACCACTGCTGCTTCTAGTCAGATACTGAGCAGTGCTCAGGACAACTAGTCCCTTCACCCACCCATCTCTTCAGTCTACCTTTAACCTAAACCTTTTCCCATCTGAATGTTTTGTTTAAAGACTTCGTTTTCCAGAGCAATTTTAGGTTCACAGCAAAACTGAGGGGAAGACACAGGGATCTCCCATCCCCCCCGTCCCCACACATGCCCGCCCCCAGAGGTGCACGTTACAGCTGATGACCGTTCACTGCACACCACCCCCCGAGTCCAGGGGTGCCTGCAGGTTCACTCTGGGTGCTGCACAGTCTGTGGGTTTGGACAAATATATAACGACGTGTTTCCACCACTGCCGTGTCGTGCAGAGTGTTTCCCGCCCTGAAACCCTCCTGCTCCGCCTGCTCACCCCTCCCCACTGACCCGGAAACCTCTCGTCTGTTTACTTCTCCAACAGTTTTCCTTCTCCAGAGGCCATGGAGTTGGACTAGACGCTGTGCAGTCTTTTTGGGTAAACAACTTTGCAAAATGCATTTAAGGTTCCTCCAAACTTTCTCATAGCCTGGTAGCTCGTTTCGTTTCAGTGCTGAACAACATTCCATTGTCTGGATGTACCACAGTTTATTTACTCACATTTGAACATTTGTCATCAACAATTACATTCTTATTTCATTTTCTCCTCAAATCCCTTAACTCAGAATCCCTTCTTTGAAACCAATGCAAACTTCATTTTCCTTTCTCTAATTAAAAGTACAATTTACACTTCAAGTTAACTGGTAGATGAGAGAGAAGTAATTCACAGTATATAAATTTTATGAGGCAAAACTGTCCATGAATTTTTGCCTACAGACAGGAAGCAGGAAGCATCAGCCAATCTGGGGCACGGAAGCGCCAGGGCAGGGCACCAAGCCCGGAGCGAGAGCCGTGACTGGTCCCCTCCCAGCACACTTCACTTCTCACCTGGGCCGCTCGGTGCCGGTCTCCTAGGTCCGAAAAGGCCGCCAGTGCGCTGGGTCCCCTCGTCTTGCTCATACTCACTGTCTAGATATGTAAATGATAAAATCAGATTATCTTACTTTTAAAAAGTTTTAAATCGTGAGTAAAAAGAAAAACATCAAGTTATAGTCCCAGAAGTTAAAAGATGTCGGTAAACAGTTTAAATTTAACATGAGTTATATGAACATTTTCTAAGTGTTGCACAAAAGATTTCTCTACATATTACTTCCTTCAATTACAAATTACTTCATCATTTTTATCTTCTTAAAATTATTTTGTAAAAGACGTTAGGGCCAATGCTATGTCAAAATATGTATCGGCAAAGTCTGATTCCCTCCAAAAAGCAACCCGTGTCTGCCTCAGAGCTTGCACGGGCTGCTTTTCCCCAGAATGGCCCCCCGGCTTCTGCCTGGCAAACCTGACCTCCTGCGCAGCAACCCTCCAGATCGCCCTACTTTCAAGAAGTGACAATTCACTAATGTGCTACACATCTAGTAAATCATCACTGCAAACTTGTTTTTAGCTTCCAGAACCACTCATCTGTCCCCCCCTTAGGCGCAACATGCAACCCAGCACTGACTTCTGAAGGCAGCGCCTCAGCTCCCAGGCACGGTGGCTGGAGGGGTTTTGGGCAGGAAGCCGTGCTGGCGAAAGAAGGTTACTTGGAGAGAGAACCACAGAGAAGGCCACCTATTTATAAGGTCAGCCACACTAGCACAGCTCTAAAACACTTAATAGTATGTAACACTGAAGAGCTGAGTCACAGAAACTTCTGAAAAGATTCACACACTCCAACTTAACCAGGATGCATTTACAAATGTCTAAATGATGTATGTACAATGTAGGTGATTATGTACCCAGCCAGTGTGCTAAGCTATCCATCCTCCTCCTTACTGAACCACACCATTTGCAACCACTACTAACTTGGACTTCCTAGACCAAATCCTCCCCGGCCACCTCGGAAGCCTCCTTTTCCACCTCTTCTGGATGACGAGGAAGCTTCTGAAGCATTTCCATCCTGAAAGCCTGAAACAGCAGAACATACACATGAACAACAGAGAGCAGACCCCGTGGGACACACACAGTGGCCCAGTTTAACTTAAGCCTTGCATAATTCAGTGACTTTAAATATATTAAGGCATTAACATACAGTTACTGAAAAGAAACACCATATTTGACCTATAAATGTTTAACTAACATGGCTACAATTTTTTTTAATGCCGACTGCTTACCTTGGGGCTCAAAGCTAGAAGTGACTAAAAGGAAGTTACCCCGATAAAACCCCGAAGACCACCCCAACTGAGCATTAACAGGATTCCCAGTCCACAGACAGTTACCTAAGTCTGCGCGTGTATCTGCTCCTAGAGAAAACAGTAAACATCACACTCGGAACACAGACATGTAGGCACATACAAAGTCTGATTTCCTGTTACAAACAATACATTTTTAACTCAATTGAATACCAAAAAATAAGGAGAAATGGTTCAAGTAAAATGAGATCTCACCTATGACAGAACAAGATCAATTCAGAACCAAGATGCGAACTGGGTAGGGAATGTTAAGTTTGAGATTATGTCATTTATGAACTTGGAACAATTGATACCTACATAAATTGATCAACAAAAATATTACACATACCATTTCTTGATACTGAATTCTGGGCACTTTAAAAAAGCCTGTTTGTAAACTGGGCCAGACGAAGGCGCGTCTGTCACTGAACGCTCACGGAGCGCTCTCCGATCAAGCCACCTTTGTCAGCGCTACAGGCACCTTACGCACAATGATTTATTAAATTTTTAGAGAGAGAAGAAAGGAGAGATAGAAACATCAATGTGAGAGAGAAACCTCGATCGGCTGCCTCCTGCATGCCCCCTACTGGGGATCGAGCCGGCAACCCAGGCATGTGCCCTGACCGGGAATCGAACCCAGACCTCTCGGTCCGCGGGACGACATTCAATCCCCTGAGCCACACCAGTAGGGCTTTATTTGTACCTCTTTATCTTTTAAGAAGCCTTGTCAGAATTTCTCCAAGAAACAGTCTTTTTGATCTGCTTTTCTATTTTTAGGCATTCGTTAGATCCTTGTTTGTGTGTATAAATAAAAGAATGTATAACACCTATGCACTTTAAAATATAATGCAATGAAAACCTATAGACCCACCACCCGGTCTGAGACTAAATGTCCCCAGTACCTTTGCCCTGTAACGTTTGCCTTCTCCCCCTTGGGAACCCCCCACCAGCCACCCGAAGTTCTGAGTGGCTGTGCTTTTGAGCTGTCATGGACGCACACCCTTCGTCCTGCCGGACTCACGGCTCGGCTGCTGAGTGAGCCGCCCTTCGCCTTGCTGCTGAGCACTCTCCACGGGGTGTTCCCACTTCCTCCAGTCATGCTTCTACTTCCTCTAGCAGATCTTATTCCTGCTTTTCTTAAGTTGAGCACTAACCTAACTTCTTTCCTAATGGATGCATTTAAGACTATAACACTGCCTCTACAGGCCAGCCGCCTCAGCTGTATCCTGTCAGTGCGGATACACTGTTTTAAGGGTCACTCAGTTCTAGACATTTCATTATTTCCATATGAATTTTTATGCCTAAACTGAGAAACTCGGTTCCCAAACCACAAGGGTTAGGCTTTTTGAAATTGATTTCTACTTTTATTGTTCTTTAACAAAAGGACATGGCCTTGACATAAATTCTATGGCTTATTTTGAAAATTCCTTTGGCCTTAATAGATGGTCAAATTGTATGTATTTTTCCATATACTGGAAAAGAATATGCAATTTATGCTTCAGGGGTATATTATTCCACACAGAAATATGAAATCAAGCCTAGTAACTGGTATTCAAATTTTCTATAGTCTTACTCATTTCCATAATAGTTTAAATACAGAATTAATGGTTTAACTAGGATTTGCAAAATTTCCTTAAAATGATGTCTATTTTTGCTTTATCTAAGGAATATGTTGTTAGATTCAAACCACGCTCAGAACTGTGATGCCTCCCCAGTGAACATGCATTTTCTCAGTAATTATTGCTGATATGTCGGCCTCAGAGTCTATTTTCTCTCATATCTGTATCAGCTTCTTTTGGTTAATACTGATTGGCATCTTTCTCTTTATTTTCAGTTATGCATTGAAATATATTTACATATATTGTAATTACTGATATATGGATTTTTATTTTTACTATTTTATTTTGTATTTATTTTATTGCATTTTCCAATGCTTTTTGTGCTTTCTGACCTATTAGATTTTCCCAATTGCTGTATTTTACTCTTTCACTGATATCCCTCCATTTAACCACAAATATTTAAGAAATACTAGCATTAGCTCTGGCCGGTTGGGCTCAGTGGTTGGAGCATCGGCCTGCGGTCCAAAGAGACCTGGGTCCAGTTCCCGCTGAGGGCATGTACCTCGGTTGCAGTTTGTCCCCGGTGCGGGTGGCAACCACTCAATGTGTCCCTTTCGCATCAATGTTTCTTTCTCTCTCTCCCTCTCCCTCCCACTCTATCTGAACAAAAAACTAAAAAATGTCCTCGAGGATTAAAAAAAAAAAAAGAAGAAATATTAGCATTATTTTCCGCCTAGACACCTTCCTCCATAGCCCTATCCTCCTACAGGATTCCTCTGGCAGGACGTAATATGTTTCTTTTATCCTTCAACAACTAATAGCCTCCGAGCAAAAAGCTAGAGGATAACTGAACCATTCCTGGGGCTTGCAACTCTGCCCAGGAAAGTAAGACGTGACAGTGGTGTTTAACATGGGTCCTCCCTCGCCCATCCAAACCCAGGAGAGGGAGCCACAAACAGCAGAACACCAACACCCACAGGGAAAATTTGGCAGGCTCCAAAGCCCACTGAGATAGCCAAAATGGCGAAACAAAGAAACAAATGCCAAATGAAAGAACAAGAGACCTCTACCAAAGATGAGATAAATGAGGTGCAGTTAGGCAAGTTAACAGAACTAGAATTCAGAGCCATGAACTTGAGAAAGTTCAACAGTATGAGAAAGGACATCAACACCATAAGAAAAGACACAGAAACGTTGAAAATCAAACAACTGGAAATTAAAATCCACCAAGAAGAAATGAAGAATGACATAGCAAAAATAAAGAACACATTGGAAGGTCTAAATATCAGAGTAGAGGAAGCTGAGGACCGGATCAGTGAACAAGACTACTCTACCCAGCAAGGCTGTCTTTCAAAATAGAAAGTCAAATAAAGAGCTTCGCAGACAAAAAACAAACAAAAAAAAAAGAGGCTAAGGGAATACATTAGCAACAAACCAGCACTGTAAAAAATATTTAAAGAACTGCTGTAATTAGTAGAAGAAATAGGAAGAAAAATATAACCACACTAAACAAAAATGGCAATAAATAAGTACGTATAAATAATCACCTTAAATGTAAATGGACTGAATGCTCTGATAAAAAGACACAGAGTAGCTGACTGGATAAGAAAGCATGACTCATATATATGTTGTTTACAAGAGACCCTCCTCACAACAAAAGACTCACATAGGCTGAAAGTGAAGGGATGGAACAAAATCTTCCAAGCAAACGGAAAGGAAAAAAAAGCTGGGGTAGCAATACTCATATCTGAGCAAATAGATTTCAAAATGAAGACCATAACTAGAGACAAAGAAAGCCACTGCATAATATTGAAAAGATCTATCCAACAGGAAGATATAACCTTGACAAACATATATGCACCCAATATAAGAGCACCAAAATATATTAAAAATCTTCTGGAGGACTTCAAAGGAGAAATCGACAGCAATACAATTATAGCAGGGGACTTCAACACCCCGCTGACAGCACTGGATAGATCCTCTAAACAAAAAATTAGCAAGGAAACAGAGACTCTAAATGAAGCACCAGACCAAATGGACTTAATAGATATCTACAGAGAAGTACACTACCAAACTAGAAAATTCATATTCTTCTCAAGTACACATGGGACATTCTCAAAGACAGACCACAAGTTAGGACACAAACTAAATATCTACAAGTTCAAGAAGATCAAAATCATATCAAGTCTCTTCTCAGATCACAATGGCATGAAACTAGAAATCAATTGCAACAAGAACATGCAAAGACATTTCAACACATGGAGGTTAAATAGCATGTTATTAAACAATAAATGGTTTACTGAGGAGATCAAGGAAGAAATTAAAAACTTCCTGGAAACCAATGAAAATGAACACACAACAACACAAAATCTATGGGATGCAGCGAAAGCAGTTCTGAGAGGGAAGTTCATAGCACTACAGGCCTACCTCAAGAAGCAACAAAAAATTCTAATAGACTATCTAACCTCACAACTTAAAGAACTAGAAAGCAAACAAAAAGAAAACCCCAGAGCAAGTAAAAGGAAGGAAACAGTAAAGACCAGAGCAGAAATAAATGACATAGAGATCAAAAAAACAATTCAAAGGATCAAGGAAACAGAGAGCTGGTTTTTCAAAAAGATAAACAAGATCGATGGACCCTTAGCTAGACTCATCAAGAAACAAAGAGACAGAACACAAATACACAAAATCAGAAAAGAAAGAAGAGAAGTAACAACTGACACCACAGAAATACAAAAGATCATTAACAACTACTATGAACAATTATACGCAAACAAATTGGACAATCTAGGCAAAACTGGACAAATTTCTAGAAACACATAGTCTTCCAAAACTGAACCGGGAAGAGAGAAAACTTGAACAGACCAATAACAACTAAAGAAATTGAAGAGGCGCCCTGGCCAGTTTGGCTCAGCGGTTAGAGTGTTGGCCTGCGGTCCGGAGAGACCCGGATTCAGTTCCCGCTAAGGGCATGTACCTCAGTTGCAGTTTGTCCCCGGCCCTGGTTGGTCGTGTGGGTGGCAGCCACTCGATGTGTCCCTTTCACATCGATGTTTCTCTCTCTCTCTTCCTCTCTCTCCCTCCCACTCTATCTGTACAAAAAAATGGAAAAATGTCCTCGGGTGAGGATCAAAAAAAAAAAAAGAAATTGAAGAGGCAATCAAGACTCTCCCAGCAA